ATTGTTCTCATTTCATACCCCCCCAACACCCCCACCCCCCACCCCCCCAAATAAAATAAAATAAAAACAACAAACAAACAGCACCCCAAACAAAATAAAAACAAAAAAGCAAGACAAACAAACAAACAAACAAACAACAGCAACAGCAAAGCCCTCCCCCGAAAAGAAACATAAAAAACTAGACAAAACAAAAAAACCAACCAACCAACCAACCAACCAACCAACCAACCAACCAACCAACCAACCAACCAAACAAACAAACAAACAAACAAATAAACAAACAAAAAACAAATCCCCCAACAAATTACCAAATGTGACTTGTCGACCAAATCGTCAGGACTCGTCACGGATCAGAAAGCACGGTCTAGGATATTATATAAATCTATGGATCACACACACGAAAACGAAAATACTAAATAAACCACTCACTTGTCCATGTTGTTCCAAGAAGTGACGTGAACTTCACACTCGCCAGGGTCAGTGGACGACCACCTCTCACCAGGGATTTGAACCCTGGTCTCTTGCAGAATTTCCGCGGGATTGTCATTTGGAGTCGAGGTGTCGTTTTCCTCAAAGCCTGTTTGTTCAGGGTGAGTGGAAGAACGGGGCAAGCAAAAAGCGAACAGCTACTGATATTATTAACTCTTTGGCATTTAGAAAAGGTCATGGCACGATAGTCTCAGCTCCTACCCGCTCCTCGGTATCGGCATGAGGCGAAGACTCCCACTCCCCCCTACCTCTCGCGGGCAGATAAAATCACATTGGCCCTCGGTGGCTTACCGCATGTGGTTGGGAAATGACTTATGAGTGCTGGGCGCTTGTTTCCTCATGTAGGCCAATTATTGATCACCGTTGCCATAGCCATAATTTGTGTGTGTTAAAAAAATCAAACAGCCTTCTTAAAATTAAGCTATGATAATAATAATAATAATAATAAAAAAATAAATTTAAAAAAAAAAAAAAAAAAATAAAAATAAATAAATAAATAACAGGCTCTATGCGCTTTACACTAATTATTACCCCAGCAGACCATAGAACACTCTGAAACATTCTCAGCTTCCTGGTAAGCATACAGTGCAAGCAGCTGATTAAGCGCTCAAACACTAACGAACTGACAAGATCTTTCGCTGTCTATAGCCGGGTACCCATTCCCCCCTGGGTGAAGTGAGGAAAATTCGTGTAAAGTGCCTTTCCCAAGTTGCGAGTCCGAGAGCCTAACCACTAGGCCACCTACGCCACAGTACTCTTCTTATGAGTACCGGTAGGTTCCCTTGTGACTCATTGGAGCAGAGGAAGATAGGACTAATGCTTTCATTACTTACACGCAATCCCACATCATCACTCATCACCAACATTGTTTCTAAAATTATCATAGCCTCTTACATCTGTACTCCTGGAATCTCTGTCTGTAACTGTTACTTGTCGTACCAAGTGTGCACGTAACACAGTATATCGGACACTGTCATATGCACTTTTTTTCTACTAATCAGACGGCGTCAATCACATAAAAATGGGCAAGGGATTAAAAAAAAAAAAAAAGAATACCGGTAGGTATCTGAAAAAAACCAACACGTTTCCTTTTGGATCTGTTCCAGAGGAGAGGAAAACTCTCTTAAAGTGGGAAACACGCTGTCAAACTGGAACGCCATTTTGAGAAAAAGGACAATTTCCACAGCGAAAACATTAGATCTAGATTGCGAAACATTTAACACAGGCTGGTCCCACCCCTGGTAGGGCTGGGCAATGAGTCGCTTAAAAAAAATCCGGATAATAAACATGTTAGTGCACCTCTTCGGCAAACAATATGACATAAACCGCTTCGGCAAATGGCTTAGAACAACTTCAACAAACCTGTTAGGGTCACTTCAACAAATGAGGGCACCCGCTTCGGTAAGCGGGTCAGGCTGCAGAGTTTAATTAAGAGTCTGAATTCGGATAATGTTTCATTGAGAATTATCCGGTTATCCTTATAGATTATCCGGATTTTGCCCACCTCTAACCCCTGGTGAGGATATCCACTTCCTAACGGCTCGTTCACACCAAACATCCGCGGTCGTGTGGCAAAATATCATGTGTGAGACGCACGAAAGAATATATATTTCTTATCTGGGCCCTTTCTGTGTTCCCACCAACTGTTCGTGTTCATGCAGTAGTGAGTAGTGATAGTTGTCGTTTGTGCGTTTGGGCGAGTTTTATGGCAGCCAAAGAATTTCATCCGTCTGCTCTCGTGTTGCGACCGACCGCTCCCTCACTGATCCAATAACAACGAGGACCACGAGGCAAAAAGTCGCCTTTTAAGCACAAGGGGACTATCCCGAAAAATGTTGTTTTGTAAAAATGGAAGGTAAAGTTTTTGCCCCTTGTTTAGTTTCTTTAAAAGACAAGGAGAGTTTTCTCTATAACAAAAAAATATGCACACAAATAAAACAAAACTTCTCCTATAGGTAGGGCAATGCCAACTTTGGGTGTAGGTCAAGATATCTGGAAACCCTTGAAATCTGGATTAGCCCGCTTGTCCTTAAAAGCGACCAAATGTAACATACGTACCAACTACTCTCTGAACTGAGCTCTCAGTCCTCACTTTCATGTTGATATAAAACATGAACGTTAGCTCACGAATAGACGGGTGATAGAATCTAGGTGTGAATGGGCACACGTTTGTGCGTTATAAGGGGTGCCCACATACGCGTTCGGGTCGGGTCGGGTTTGGTCGGGCCTATCGGATCGGGGTTTCAGTGCACACTACCGCCCCGCCGCGATTGTACTCGACGACCCGGAAGTTAAAGTAGAGAAACCGTTAACCTACATGCGACTACACAGAGGGCATAAACCCGGGCTACGATTGGCTGGACCTCTGACCCATGAATACATAAAATATGCATACCGTACTCTTGGACTTCCCGCAATCACTGTGTGTGTGTGTGTGTGTGTGTGTGTGTGTGTGTGTGTGTGTTTGTGAGTGCTTGCTAACTTGCTTTAGTCTAGGCGTCCACCAAAATAAGACCACCTCCAGGCCAGGCTAATGTACGAGGTTTTGGCACGGTGTAGAAGCGACTCAAAAAGATCCGCGTCCATCGACGTCAGACCAGCTAAATCTATTTTTAGCCCAGTGTGTTATGATTACGAGAACAGCAGACAGCACTGGCGGTTTATTTATTTATTTACCACTTTGAAGAACTAAAAAGCAACAAATTACAATTATGGGAAAAAATTGTTGGTAAGTTGGGAGGATGAGAAGAAGGAAAAACAAAAAAGAAAACGCTAGGACTGGGATTCGATCCCACGCTCACAAAATAATATTTGCGTTCAAATGTAGACACACTGTTCACTCGGCTATCAGAACTTTTATCAGAGAAGGAAGCTTCATATTTACAGCACTGTTTCAGGAATGGCAAAGCGACATAATAAATCGAGATGTAGATCTAGAATCTAGGCCTAGATCTAGTGGACCGGCAGATAAGGTCTGGAGAAAACTAATAATTGGCGGAAAATTGGAAGTACTAAACATTAGAAGAGAACGTAGACTAAGACACGTCCTTAGCTAGGTCTAGCCTGGCCTATTTTTAGCTCTCCTGAGAACGAAATAATCTAGATCTAGATCTAGGTCAAGTGCTTTAATTTCTTTTTTTTTTGGTGCTGTCTTTCAGCACAAATCTGCTATTGTTCAACATATTATAATGAGATACAACTTTATTGATCTTGTAAAGTGCAATGAAGAAGCACAAATGTACTCAAAGATGCAAATTTCCTTCCAAAATGAGTCGAATCGAGGCATTCTTAGTCCCCTGTACGACTGACGAAAAAACATTGCTAGATATAGGTCTAGATTTAGGTATCTGCATATAATATCTCTCAACTTATCTCTCTCCCTCCCTGTCACGTGATCGGAGGGGTATCCTGGTCTGACATCAAACAAGATGGGCGCTTTACCTAAACATAGTTTGTGTCTTTCTACGTTTAATCGCATGTCTCTCACCACCCTCCCTCTGTAGTGCTCCTCCTCCTCCTTCTTTTTCGTCTCCTTCTTTCTCTAAGCCTATGAGCGCTCCAAACCCGCTTCGTGAAGTGAGAAGACGGTCAAAGGCGTGAGACCGTAACCGGGAATTCCGCGAGTACCTACTTAATGTATTCAAGGGTCAAAATGGACACGTGACTCAGCCTTGTTGTGATTGGCTGCAAACCACCCGATCTCGCGATTCGCACGCCAGAAAACCAACGCGTTTGTTTTTGTACGTCCTCGATCGTGTCGATCGGTTTATGCCACGATGCCCGCTTTGCGTCCTCAATTTGGCTAGCCCTCATTACTCAATGGGCCCGACCAAACCCGACCCGACCCTATCACGTATGTGGGCACCCCCTATTAGACGAATGCACGATATCACACGAACGCGGAAGTTTGATGGAGTGAATCAGCCGTTACTCTTTAGCTCTTTTACCGCTTTGTAGACTTAACACCAATAATAATGGACAATGATCGATAGCATTTCTGTACCTCAGAATTACACGCTTCTAACTGCTCAGTACCTAGTTTTGAAAAAATTGACGTTAAAAATTTTGAGTTTCACAACATGTCAAGCTTTATCAAAATGGAATTCTTTGAATAGTCTTACGATCGTGATGGAGCAGATAGAGCATTTTACTTTCTCACCTCATTGTATTAGCAACTCAAAATGGTTGAAAATCTCACATAGAATTTTTTAACTCTAAGGTAGCGATGTGTATAGAACTAATTCCCGCTCACCAGTAAGCTCTAGATCTAAGTGCCTTACAATCTATATATTATCACTGCAGCAGATTTACACACACACACACACACACACACACACACACACACACACACACACACACACACACACA